AGTCCAATTAGTGTTCCCGGCCGAAATTGTTAATTTCAACAAGGTAAGCATGTTAATTGTACACACCCTAAAATCTAGACTTGCCACAAGTCTCTTATTTTTTATTATTTTTCTCATTCTGGACAGCGCCACCAACGAGAAAGTTAATTTAGAGCAAAGATCTGGAAACACTTTTTGGATACGACGCCCCGTTATGGAGTTATGATTTTTTAAATAACATGATGTCAGAAAATCAGCCCAAAAGCTTATCTTATTTCTGTTGGTTACGCACCGCTGATTCGCAATGTTTGTCATCACTTCAAGATGTCTACCGATTCGTGAAAAAGGCGTTACAATGGGTCGTGCTCATATTATTTGTTATATTTTTATTATTCATTATTTTCACTTGACTCGCATAAATAATTTTGTTCGAAGAACATTTTATGCAGTTGTACTTCGTAGCACTTCACTTGCAATTTGCAATTTCTAGTCTCTATGGCCTAATTCGAAAAAAAAAAGAAATCGAGTATGGGACGCACTAAGTGCAATAAAGAGTGAGTAACCTAAAATTAGGGCCTGGAACCCAGGGCCAGGCTACCTAAAACCAAACAAAAGTATACTGTATTATTATTCTGGATTTGAGCACAGATTCCCAGTGTAAAGTTTACGGATGTGGCGTGTTGACGATTAGACGACAGGGTTGACGCAAGTTAACGCGAGTTAATCGACATAGGAATAATCATGCGTCATCGAACTTTGACACAAAATGACTCCACCCATAAATTTCGCCATCTTTGTATCTGAAACACAACAGGGAAGTAGTGACGGATAAGGTTAATTTATTAACTTAGTAAGTTAGCTACATTTATTTTCAAAACGTAGGATATGCGTAGATAATTATAAAAATAATATGATTACTTTGTTTGGCCTGTTCATGGCCCAAAACAACGACAACAACATGTGTAGGCCTAGGCTAGGCCAAAGGCCTAGGGCCTAGGCCTACCTAGTACTAGCCTAGCTAGGCTAATAATATTATAATACTGTAATAGGCTGGGCTGGAGGCCTGGCCTGGCCCCTGGAAAGAAGGCCTAGCCTAGGCCTACTAGTACTAGCACAGGCTAGCTAGTAGTAGGTAGGCCTGAAGTAACAGTATTATCGTACCCGTAGTAGTTGTAGTGAGTGTTCTCCTATTGAAAATTTTTTACTGGTAAATTTGTCCGTGAAAATTCAGCAATGCGTGCGCAGGGGTGGGCTTTAATGACTTGAAGAAACAACAGCAGTATATATTCATAGCTTAGCTTAATGGGCACATAGACTGGAATGATGTTAATTGCTGCGAAGCAGCCAATTCATATTCTTGACAGCAATTTGACCTCTGAAAGGTCATTGTTTGTCAAAAAACGAGTGCCTAAGACGACTGAAAAGCGGAGTTTCCTTCTTTCGTTCTGCCGGGTAAAATCAATTACTTTAGGCGACGTTTGTAGACTAACCTACTCGTACCAACATCCGCATGTCGTGCTAGCCTTATCCTACTCTCTAGGCTTAGACTAGCTAGGATGGTATAGGCCTAGCCTTGAAGGGACGAAGGTCACAATGAAAAACAACGTCGCTCTTTGATAGCTAACATTGTCTATTTAACATCACAATAATTCATTATTAGACCTATAGTTGTTTTTTGAATTGTACTCCACAAATCTCAGCCGATACCTCGCACAACTGGCTAACGTCTCTATCTATTGTCGTGACGTCATGGCTGGCTGGCTCACACTTGTGATGTCTCGCACTTGTGATCAAATAACACGCTGGCTCGCACTTTGGCAACACTCGTTGGCAGTCAACTCGCCCCTAGAAAACCCGCCCTTGGAAACTTGCCCCATAAAAAAATGTACACTTCCTAGTATAGTCTTCAAAATAAAAATTGTAACCTTTGGTAATCAACTACATTTTCCACATACATAGAAATTTTTGAAACTTTATTTAAAAAAACCTAAACCATAATTCACCACACTATAGACACTTTTTGACAAAAATGAAAAATTACGACTTTGTTACCCAATGAGAAGTGTTCTAATATAGACAATGGGTTGTGTCTCATTTTATTTGTTATAGTTTTATTATTCATTATTTTCACTTGACTCGCATAAATAATTTTGTTCGAAGAACATTTATATGCAGTTGCACTTCGCAGCACTTCACTTGCAATTTGCAATTTCTAGTTTATTGATATTATTATTGTTAAAGAGGGCCAGCCGCCCTAGTCTACCTAGCTAGGCTTGGCCTATCAGTAGTCTTTTCATTAAATTACAAAATCAAAATGTTTACTGGTTGGCCGGTTATTTTTACCGGTAAAATTTACAGCTAAAACCGCTTCGGGAGAACACTGAGTTGGCTTGTGTAGTAGGCTAAACTAGGCCCTAGCTAGACTCTATGTAGGCCAGGTATGCTGTGCGGCTGTGCTGTGTTGTTGGTGTTACCCAGCTACTGTAGCTAGGCCATAACAACTCCCTGCCTACTGGTCTTCCTATTGTTTGGCTGGGCTATAGGCCCTGAATAGTCATTTTACAGTAGTGTTAGTTACTGTTATGTATGATAAATTGGACATTTCAACCCCAGGCCAAAACATTAAAAAAAACAGGACTTTATCGATCTAGAAAGC